GGCTGCGCGGGCATTTCAGTGCGAGTGGAGGATACCCCGAGACACCGCATTGACGTCCGCGCGGGATGTGCGCCACGTCCCATTCCCGCCACGCATTTCGCATCGTCGACGACAAGACTGGCCTTGTTGATAGGAACAACGGACACGTTCCCCCATCTTGGGACAAATTCGCCGGCCCAACGGGCCAGAGGCGTGCAAAGATCTCCGGTAACTAGTTAACAATATTCTAGTTCGCGCGCGGGGCGACCCTTGGGGACCCCCGGACGAAGAGTACCCCGAGCAGGTCCCGGGCCAGCCCAACGGGCCATTAGCGTGCTAAGATCTCCGGCAACTGGTTAACAATCTTCTACTTTGCGCGCACGGGGCGGCCCCTGGGGGCCCCCGGACGAAAAGAACCCCGAGCAGGTCCTGTGCACGCCGGTCCCAGCGATGGTTTTCTTCTTCGGCGCTGACTTCCAAGTCCCAGAGCGCCCCAGGAACGCCCCGAGAGAGCCGAGACGCCCCCGAGACGATCCGAGGATCCCTGAGTCGCCGAATGATCATTCCAAGACGCCCAACATGGCCTCCAGACGGCCGTAGCGCCAAGAAGCCGCGGAGAGCCTCAGGAGGCCTTCCAAGAGCCTCAACAAGCAAAAACCGCCCAGGCATTCGTCACCCCAGGGCCTCCTGGAACGCCGCGGCGCCCAATGAATTGGCGAGCTAAAAACGTGCGCCGAGCCAAAGCGGGAGTGCAACTTTGAGAAAATTTCGCTCGGCGCCCAAGCGGGCATTTCATTCACTTCGAGCGGGGGGGAGGGGGGGGTGCCGCGCACAATTCTTGCCATGCACTTTTGCGGGGTGGGCGACAAGAACAGCTATGTGGGCAGGGGGTATCAGCATGGCATCGCTTCTGACAAGTAAGGTGGCCCCTCCCGCCTTGGGGTTGCCCCAGAAGTCCGCGCGCGCGATGTGCGCCGCGCCCCATTCCTGCCACGCGTTTCGCATCGTCGACGACAAGACAGGCCATGATGAAAGGAAAAAATGCTACTCTGCATTGTTTTTTAACGGTCAGGATGGGAGGGTCCGCAGCCCGCATGGACGTCCGATGTGCGCCGCGTCCCACTCCTGCAATATATTTTGCACCGTCGGCGACAAGGCAGGCCATTCTGAAAGGAAAAAAAACGGGGATTTTGTATTGATTTTTTACCATCAGTATGGGCGGGCCCGGATTGACGGCCGCGCGCGATGCGCGTCGCGTCCCATATGTGAGGAGGAGGAGGAGGACGAGGAGGAGGAGGAGGAGGAGGAGGAGGAGGAGGAGGGGAGGAGGAGGGGGAGGAGGGGGAGGGGGACGGGGAGGAGGCAAGCTAGGTGCGCTCGCGTCATATCTGACATCCTACCCCTCCCTCCCATCCCTTACCATGGCGCAGATCCCCTCTCTGCTCGCAATGTCAAGCAGGGCGATGATCCCGAAAGGGTACGCGATGCATTGTAGAGCACGGCATGGCATGGCGTAGAAAAGCACCGCGAAGCGTAGTATCAACCTAGCATTGCACTGCATGCCGTGGCATGGCGCGGGAAATGACGCCACCGCTGCAGCGGGAGCACGAGTCGAAACGAGCGGAAGCGCGGAAATGAGGCCAACGCTACAGCGGGAGCACGATTCGGAACGAGCGGAAGCACGGAAATGAGGCCAGCGCTGCAGCGAGAGCAGGATTCGGAACGAGCGGGGCCCGAAAATGAGGCCGGCGCCTCAGCGAGAGCAGCATTTTGGGAAAAATGCAAGCGAAAACCTAACTCTGGGGAAGGCTTCCCGGGCGCCAGAAGTAGAAATTCAGCATTTTCAAATGGAAAAATTGTACTGGAATGGCCTTTTTTCGGCGCCGCCTCGGAACTCGATTTTCCGGCGCCGGCCGGAACCGGCTCCAGACCCGGCCCGGGCGCCAGCCCGGGCGCCGGCTGGGGCGTCTGGCCCGGGCGTCGGCTCGGGCGCCGGCCTGGACGTCGGAATCGGCCCGGGAGGCGTTCCCAAGCGCCAGAAGCAGAAATTCAGCATTTTCAAATGGAAAAATTGTATTGGAATTGCCTTTTTCGGCGCCGCCTCGGAACTCGATTTCTCTGGCGCCGGCCGGAACCGGCTCCGGACCCGGCCCCCCGAGCGCCGGCCCGGGCGCCGGCTCTGGCGTGCAGCCCGGGCGCCGGCGGAAATGATGCCAGCGCTGCAGCGGGAGCTCGATTCGGAACGAGCGGGGCCCGAAGATGAGGCCGGCGCCGCAGCGAGAGCAGCATAAAACAAAAAAAATGCATACGAAAACCCAACTCCGGGGAAACTTGCGTGTAAAAAAACAATACGCGGGGGGGCGAATATTCCCAAGACGTCATCAGGGAAGAGGGATAATAAAATTCAGATTGAGAAACTGTGGAAGGAGAAGAGGAGGAGGAGGAGGGAGGAGGAGAGGGAGGAGGAGGCGGAGGAGGAGGAGGGGGAGGAGGAGGAGGAGGAGGAGGAGGAGGAGGAGGAGGAGGAGGAGGAGGAGGAGGAGGAGGAGGAGGTGGAGGAGGACTTTCCAGGACTTTCCCAATCTGACAGGGTCAGAACGGCAAGATGGCCTCGCCGAGAGCGAGGACGCGAAGCGGGGAAGCCCGCCACCCCTGCCGCACGTGCTCGGTGGAGCCACCAGGGCCAGAACCCACCTAGCAGACGCAGCAGGAGGGACGGGGCCCCGTTTGGCGCCCCCCCGAGGCCGCCCTATCCGAGAGGGCGGCCTTCCATCACACGTGAAATCACCCAGGCCCCCATCTTGGTGGGGGGCTGACCGTTCTGACACTTACACTCCTCCGCAAGGCCTCTCAGATGGCCTCTCCCTCTTAGAGCTCTACACCCGCATGCCGTACAAACCCAATAAGGTTCAAAATGCGCAAGGCAATGGGACGGGTGACCAACTCGCGTTCCCATGGCCAATTGCTGGGCTTGGGCTTGTCTGGGCAGCTCTAGAGGGGGTCCAAGGCACTCGGAGGTCAACCAAATATCTAAATCTCTGCTTCTGGCTATCTTACTGAGCGACGTGTTGCAACAATTACAGGACCACCTAGATTTCATATCAGTTAAAGGAGGACGAGGAGGAGGAGGAGGAGGACGAGGGAGGAGGACGAGGAAGGAGGAGGAGGAGGAGGAGGACGAGGCAGGAGGAGGAGGAGGAGGAGGAGGAGGAGGCGGAGGAGAGGAGGAGGAGGAGGAGGAGGGAGGAGGAGGGAGGAGGGCGAGGAGGAGGAGGGGGAGGAGGGAGGAGGGCGAGGAGGAGGAGGAGGGAGGAGGAGACCCTGGAGGCCTGGCAGGCCCACGGAGAGCCCCCCCCGGCGTGCCGCGGGGGGGCGCCCCGCGGAGGGCGCGGCGGCGGTCGCGGCGGGGGCGAGGCCGCGGGGGCGGAGCGGCCGCGGCGGGCCCGCGGCGAGCCGTGCTTCGGTGCGAGGAAGGAACTCCTCGCACCTCCTCCTCCTCCTCCTCCTCCCCCCTCCTCCTCCTCCTCCTCCTCCTCCTCCTCCTGCTCCTGCTCCTGCTCCTGCCCTGCTCCTGTTCCTGCTCCCTGCTCCTGCTCCTCTCCTCCTCTCCTCCTCCTCCTCCTCCCTCCTCCCCTCCTCTTCCTCCACCTCCTCCTCCTCCTCCGCCTCCGCCTCCTCCTCCTCCCCCTCCTTCTTATTGGCCTGGAGCCCTGACTTAGCCCCAAAGGAATTTCTCGCACCGGCACCGCTCGCTGCGGGGCTCAGACAGCTGCCTCCCCCGTGGCCCATGCCGAGAAGATACGCCTGGACGAGCTCATCCACGACAACCGGCTCTCACAGATACTGGGTGGCCACAAGATGGGCGACCGCGTCTTCGCCCTGCGCCGCTTCACCCCCCGGGGGCGCGGAGTCGAGATCTACAGGGTCAAACACTTAGCCAAAATTGACGCGACGTTGGCCAACCGTCAAAACTTACCAGAGGGCTGCGTGGCGTCCCGGAGGCACATGACGCACCGCTCGTGCACGGCGCATTCGATGTTTTGCGCCCATCGATAGTACATGTTTGCTTGCATGCGCGTGGGCCGATAGTCTTCGGACGCTCCTGCGCATGCGATTTTTTCGAGCCAACTAGCCCGCAGCGTTTTCGAATTACTCTTGAGCTTCGCCACTTCGCTCTTAGGGAAGCTCTACGAGTCACTCTGACAAGGAAGGATTGCTGGAGACCTTGCGAGCTCGCGGCAGCGGCCTCCGCAGAAGCCTCGACGGGGGGTCGAGCCTTGACCCAACTTCTCGGGCCAGGGCGTGGCGCGAAAATGCGGCGTTGAGCTGTCTGCAAGTGCGTATGTGTGTGTGTGTGTGTGTGTGTGGATGTGTGAGAGGTGCGCGCGTGTGTGCGTGAGGTGTGCGCGTGTGCGCGTGTGCGCGTGTGTGCGAAAGCCGGTGCATGCATATAAGAGCGAGAGAGAAGGAGATAACCCTCCCCAAAAGAGAGGGCGAGAGGAAAAAACTGACTTTGAACAAAAGATAGAGACAGCGAGTGAAAGAGCTCGAGAGAGAGAGAGAGAGCGGATGCGAATCTGCACGTGCGTGCGTGCGCTCGTGCGGCGTGCGCGCGCTGTGTGCACAAACGAACACGGCCCTTGCCGTCGCTCGGACGTCCGGTCCCCGGGCATGCTTCGGATCCGTGCGTGGTCCTTGGTGCTCGATGGTCCCTGGATGCTCCTCGACGGCCCTCGCCGGGAAAAAGACAGACAAGCAGAAAAAGAGAACGTCCGAGCGATGCCGAGGGCCCCACACGTGGCGGCGCGCACAAGGGGGTGGACGGAGAGGGGAGAGCTCCTTAGAAGGAGGCTGCCTCTTCGAAGGCGCCGGCCTCACATCTATAGATGTAAGGCCCGCACCTTCTGAGAAGCAGGGGGGCGCTTCTAAGAAGCCCTCCCCCCTCCCCCCACCCCCCTCTGCGCGTGGCTGACACACGAGAGAGCAGGACGACACGGACGGCCGGGCGCGGGCCGCGGGCGTGATGCCGCCGCACCCGCGCTGGTGCTTGCGGCGGTCTTCACCGCGCACCTCGGGTGCCGGCCCCCCCCCCACGGCGGGGAGGCGGGCGCCCCTGGCCGCCGGCGCGAGAGAGAGGACCGGGGAGCGGAGAGCACGGCGGCGCTGCTCCCGGCGGCGCGCGCGGAGGAAGCACGGGAGGAGGAGGAGGAGGAGGAGGAGGAGGAGGAGGAGAAGGAGGAGGGGGAGGTTGAGGAGGAGGGGAGGGGGAGGTGAGGAGGAGGAGGAGGAGGAGGAGGGGAGGAGGAGGAGGAGGAGGAGGAGGAGGAGGAGGGGGAGGGAGGAGGAGGAGGAGGAGGGAGGAGGAGGAGGAGGAGGAGGAGGAGGAGGAGGGGTTGAGGAGGAGAGGGAGGAGGAGGAGGGGGAGGAGGAGGAGAAGGAGGAGGAGGAGGAGGAGGAGGAGGAGGAGGTTGAGGAGGAGGGAGCGGAGCTCAAGATGAGGAAGGCCGGGCCCCAGGGAAGGGGTCGAGACGTCTGGGCGCCGCTGTCAGGAGCAGCTCTCGACGGAGAGGGGGTCCAGGAGGGTCGCGGTGGGCCTCCCAGGAGGGAGGCCGAGCAGGTGGCTGGTGGCCACGCGCAGAGGGGGGCACTTCGGTGGAGGGGGGAAGGCTTCTTGGACCTTGGAAGGAGGCTGCTTCTTAGAGGTAGAGGGCCCTGGCCTTGCATCTACAGACAAGACCTGCGCGTTCTAGGAACCAGGATCCTTCTAACAAGCCGTCCCCCCTCACCCTACCCCCTACCCCTCTCTGAGCGTGGCCGACATTCGCCGCGGTGGCCGTCGGGGGGCGGTACAAATCGCTTCGACTGGGTGCGGCAGGGGGGAGAGACTGGCTTCTTCTTGAGGCAGGTATTTCCAAGAACGGGCGGGTCTAGAAAGGCTCGCCTGGGAGGGGAGACGGAATGAGACCTGTCCCCGTGCGCCCTCCTTGCGCGCCATGCGCACACCTGCTTCCAGACCCTTCTGCACAGCCTATCGGAGGCGTGGCGCCCAGGACCCCAACCCTCTCGGGCACGTCGACCATCCTCGGGTCCACTCGGAAAGATACAAAGAATGCCAGCGAATATATGCACATGTGCGAAAACACGGGTGCTTACAAGCCGACAATGCGATTTGACTGTCTATATTTACTTAAGCAGAGTCGGCGATACTACACTGCAAAACGCTCTCTTAGAAAGTCGAAACGGGTTCGCTGCCACCGACGCGAAAAAAGGTGCACAAGAGCCAGCCTCAGTGAAAGCCGTGCTCCGCATACTTCGCCACCGACTTGTCATCCCCTGGATTCATGAAATCCTTACCTGAGGGGTCCACAAGTGGGGTGGCCGAATCCTTGATGGCCTCATTCGATACAATCGCGAGCGGGGTGTACTGAGGATGGTGGTGCTCTATCATCGGGTTGTTATCGGCGCGATTGAACCCAACAAGGAAACACCAGCGGCGTCGGTCCGAGCTGTTCTGCCCTGACGCGTGCAGCAGCAAACAATGAAAGAACAGCGCGTCTCCGGGCTCCATCTCCAGCTGCACCTCCGGCAGCCCCGACTGCTCCGCCCAACGCCGCCTCTTCGGATCTGCCTCCGCCTGGCTCCCGGTGACGTGATGGGGGAGCAGGCCGCACCGGTGACTTCCGCGCAGCACCCGGAGGCCCGCATTCCCGGCGTCCATCTTGTCCAGCGGGATGAAGACAGTGGCCATGTCTGGGTACACGCAGCCGTTCTGGGACCAATACCCGAAATCCTGATGCCAAAGGTGCGCACCACCCGTCCGTGCGTCCTTCATCATCAGCTTCGAGTGGTAGTGGTACACCTCCCCCCCGAGCAAGCTCTCCATTGTCCTGGCCACCTTGGGCACGCGGGCTATCATCCCCGTCACGTCGTTCCCTGGGTGGTTCCAGAGCGCCAGCCTCGTTTGGCGCCCCATGCCGTCAGATCTGCCGTACGAGTGCGCAGCGATCCCTCCGTCCTGCGTCACAGCTTCATCAAGGCGCCTCACCTCATCGCTCTGCAGGAGGCCCTTGACGATGATGTAGCCGTCCTGATGCCAAGCGGCCTGCACTTCATCGGAGTCGGGGTCGAAAGATGGACCCCAGGTGAATGCGGGCTTGGCAGGGGGGATCGGCTCCTTCGTAGTGCGGGGCCTCTTGAAGATTGCCATGGGCGGCACGAAGCGACGGCCCGCACCATCCGCCTCTTCGCTCTTGCCTCGAGCCACGGCGCGCCAATCTTACACCGCGGAGCGCCGCGGAAGGCCGAGCCAAGGAAGGGATCATTGAATGAGGTGTGAAGCGGGGAGAACAAGGAGAAGAGCAGGCGGAGCACGAGGATGATGAGCGGGGCGCAGGAGATGAGCTTGGCAAAGAACAGAATGAGGACAATGAAGAGGACAGGAGGCACAGAGGAGATTGTGAAACCAAAAGTTCGGCGTACGAGTTCAGAAGTGGACGACACACGCCCTGACATAATCCTGTGACCCGAGGTATACAGTGACATCTCAAGGCCTCGTGGCTGCACGTGTGATCCAATGTACAATGTACCCGATATGGAATACAAACACCGACAGCGTTGCGCCTGTACTCAAACTGCTACACAACTTCACGATTCGACTGATGCATCCTGCTGCTACGCTCGGAAGGCTTCCAGCTTGCTCGAACCGCTGATGGGAAATGGGGATGGCGTTCGGTTCGCGAGTGGCGCGTCGGATCTCATTCGCGATCGATCAAAAGATCTTGACATACATATATGAACTAGATATACAAATATATATTAAAAATGTATGTGTACATGAATATATATATATATATATATATATATATATACACATATCTATATATGTATATGCGTGTTTGCGCGCAAGAGTACGCATACGTACGATGTGTGTATATACCAACATGTATGTATGATCCAGGGTCGAGGGCCCATGGGCCCCCCCCCCAGATGGAATGGTCCTAGGATTCCTCGGGCCCCCCCCCCAGATGGTATGGTCCCAGAGACGACGACGACGACGACAACGACGACGACCACGACGACGACAACGACGGCTGCGGCGACGGCGACGACGACGACGACCACGACGACGACAACGACGGCTGCGGCGACGACGCCGGCGGCGGCGGCGGCGACGACGACGATGACGACGATGACGACGGCGACGACGACGATGGCGACCACGACGACGACGACGACGACGAGGACGACGAGGACGACGAGGACGACGAGGACGACGACGACGACGAGGACGACCTCTGAACCACCACAGCACCACACCACATCCACAGGGGGGGGGGGGGCACCGCAGCGCAGCACCACGCCACACCCACCTCTGAACCACCACAGCACCACACCACATCCACAGGGGGGGGGGGGAACCGCAGCGCAGCACCACGCCACGCCCACAGGGGGGGGCGGGGGGGACCATCGCGCGGGGGGGGGGAGCCCAATGGCATCAGCATTGGGGGGGGGGGGGGCCCAAGCCCTGGACCATGTATACCTTCCTGACTGTTGATCGATCCACCTATGTATCGGTTTCACTCCCCATCCATCGACCTCGACCCAAGCGGGGCAACCCTAAAGCAAAGACGGGACAAACTCAGAACTACAACCAACATAACAAAAACTGGACAACTGCGGGGCATCAACGGACCAACCACAGAACTACCAGAGGAAAGACACAGAACAACTGCGGTACAACCAAAGAAAACTAAGACGACCCACGCGGCAATCACGAAGCAACCACAAGAAAAGCACTGAACACCCGCGGGACAACCACTGGACAGCCACATGGCAACAACAGGGCAACCGCGGGACAACCACGGACCAGAAACGGAAAAGCCACACTGGAACCACGAAGACACCACAAGAAGACTGCAGGAAAGGACAACCATGAAGTCCGAGCGATGCCAGGAGAAAGGGATCCTTTAGGGCACATTTTGCCCACCAACTGGCTCCAAAAGGGGCCCCGAAGGGCTCCTGGCCCCCCCCCACTTGGGACACCCCCAATACCATTACCGCCCGAGACTCAGTGCTCCAAACCTCTCCCCCAGACTTCGGGAGCGGCCAAGAGGGGGGTGTCCAAGAGGGGGGGGTGCAAATCATGACCGGCGGCATGTGCGCGGCCCAGCGGGGGGGCCAGGGACGTAATGAAATAAGAGGAGGCGCCATGAAATCTGGGGAAATATCATGACGCCCGCCATGATTTCCACCCCCCCTAGTCGTTACCCCCCTCTTTTCCGCCCCCGATGCAACCACCACAAAACAATCACGAGAAAACCACGGGACAACCACCGGGACCGCCTTCGGGGGGGAGGAATAGACCGATGGCAGCCTGCAGCCGTGGATCTGCCTCACCCTCGCGCAGCTTCGCGCCGCCCGCATGCACTTCACGCGCGACAGGAACCGAAATCGGAACAGACTTCCCACTTGGCCAATGAACTTCGACCTTACAGTCGGGGCGTTGACCTAAGAAACCCTAAATAAGGAACGAGGCCCATTTTTCCCATAAGTTAAACCTCGATTTCCCTAGCGGAAACCTCAGGAAAACCCGAGGTACAATTTGAAACAAACAAGGAACACCGAGCCCCTCCCCAACGAAAAGGGTTCCTTCTTCAGGGCCCCGACTGTACCGACAAACCTCCGAATTGTTCTGGTCCACCTGTTCACCAGGCCCGTGCAGGTTGACGCAGGTCGAAGCTATACAATGGACAGTTCACTTGGGGGTTATATGCGCGCTCGTGCGTGGGGGTTGCTGCACGCCCAAGCAAACATGTGCGACTGCCGAGGTGAAGACGAAGCGGGGACGATCACAACGAGCAGGACGAGAATGAGTTACAAGAGCAACAGAAGCTTAAAGAGCAAAACGAACGGCATCCCACGGACAGGGGACAGCGTCCTGTATCGAGGGGGGTGGAGAAGCCTCCGCAAGCCGTCCGTCCAGCGCTGCCCGTCGCTCGGGGTTGCGCAGCATCTCGTAGGC